GGGCAGCGCGCCCGCGCCCGTGAAGGCCTGTGCCGAAGACAGCCCGCTGTTGGTTCAGACCGGATGCTTCTCGCGGTCACGCTGCGCCTCCCGGGGACACCTTAATGACGGACACGTTTCAGTGCTGGCGCCTTTCCCGATACTGCACAGTCATGGAGTGCAATAATACTGTATAGTTTTTTTAAGATTTCATTCGACCAGTTCATAGCTCAACAATGCAGGCATTACTAATTGTAACTTATTTTATATTCATGTTTCACACAATGGCCGATTGAGTTGATATCTGATTTTTTCCTTGGAAAAAGTTTGTTTAATCTGTTGTATTTTATATGAATTTATGTTCTTTTTGTAGTTCAAAATGGAATTATAGGAGTGTCTGATATTGTCCTAAATTGTAAAATAATTGACAGCTGTCTATCAAATCTCTGATGTGGTTATAGCAGGTTTGTATATTTTTCAAAATATATGGCAGAGTTGAACGTGCATTATATACAAAATTATATGAACAAAATTATATGCAGAGTAATTACATCATTTTGTGACGTCAGTAAAAACTGAGACCAACTGCTTTTAAATTGTGCTGGCCAGCTGCAGAGGCCTTTCCTGGGCCAGGCTGAGGAGGTGAAAAGCCGGGCCTTTCTAATGTCCTAAACATAAACTAAGAAAATTAATTTAAATAAAGAGTTCTCATTTACTGTGTGAAGTACCGAGTCACGGATGGTGATCAGATTCCTGGACCCGCAAGGAGAAAATGTGTAAAAACCCCCCCTTGCCAGACCCCGCACCTCGTGCGCTGGGGGCCGCGAGACGCTGGGTGGTGGCGCCTGGTGCTCGGCAGAGGCTGCGGGTGCCCTTGGAGCGCGAGCCGCGGGACGTGGGACCCGGGAGCGCCCCGGTTCACTGACAGCGCAAGGTCCTTGTGCCAAAGGCAAGACCAAGGGTAGCTACGTACACGCTTACAGAAGGGAGGGGGGTGGAAGGAACTTGTCCTTCTTTAGGAAATAGTGTTCTTAGGACAGCGGGTTTTTTGGTGCATACCTTGAAAAGCTGCCCTGTATTTTTTAAGCTGAATTTCTAACTTGGTAACTGTAAGCTGTGGTCTGCAGGAGGGCTGGGGAAGGTGGAGGTGCCGCCGTCTGCACGGTGGGGAGCTGCGCGGGGGCCAGGCCCG